AAGTATGTTAAGATTGTGAATCCCATATTTGGCTAAATGAGGAATCTTGCATGTGCTTATAAGTACTTGGGTTACTTCTCGTATTGCCAATTACTTTATAGAACCTCAATCTTCTTCATGGTATCATAGCAGGTTGCCTCTCGTGTGAAGCTCAACAACCACACGTGCTTCACATCACCCAATTTGTATTGTTCACGTACTATGCTTGAAAATTCGTCGCACATATGGAGTGCTAGTCTGTGCATGTGGTACCCATCTAGTGGGTTTACTTCTTGTTTGTTTGTACAAATTCATTCCAAATTAATTTCTAAGTCATTGGAGCTATGAACCCGATTTGCACCTATGTATTTGTTTGTGATGATAAAGAAAATGCCACTCTATTGTTCTGGTAAAAAAAAAAAAAAAAATTTCTTTTGCGACAAAAGACGTTGCAAGACATTTTTAAGCAATCTTACCATTTATTGTGTCCCGTAGTTATTTTTTAATTGAATTTTTAAGCTGAAAAGTAGGAAAGTACATGAAAAAAATACTAATGGAGTTAAAAACGTAGTTATGCCCTCTCTGGTTATATTTTTTGTATTAAAAAAAAAAACTAATGAAAATGGCTTGAAAACTTTGAGTTTTAAGGATAAAGACAAAATAAAGGGTAAAGTGAATAGTATCAGGATTGATTTTTTAGTGTAAAAATGTGGTTTAAAGTTAATAATACCATGGGTTTTTCATTAAAACTCCCTTGAAAACGTAGTTAGAATAGAGTTCAACCGGCCGGAACATTTTTGGATCATCCTGCATTGTCTTTAAGAAGCCTATAGTGCTATAATAGGAAGAAAAAAATCATCATGCACATCTTATGGTTCAAAGAAATAAAAAGAGTGAATGATGACTTTGTTTTAAGTGTTAATTACTATACCTTGTGTTGAAAAAAAAAAAGAAGATTAAAAGACATCCACGTCCAGTCTCCCAATAACTAACAAGTCTGATACGGCGTTTATGCCTGGAGGCCTAATTTAGGTTTTTTAATTTTTTTATTTATTTTTTATTTTTTAACAACCGATAGCGCTAGTGAATTAAATTGTTAAATGTTAACGGAAAGAAGATCGGTGAAAACAAATCCCTACCAGAGTGAATAAACATTAATGCTTTATGTCACTGTAGTAAAGTGTCATTTGATAAAATATACACACTTGTATAATTGGTTAATACATAATATTTAATCATTTAGACTTATCCATGAATGAAATTAATTTTCAAATCTTTTTATATATAAAGCCAACACAAAAGGTCAATAGTGCTTTTTACGTCACCAAGCTTCAACAAAAATATTTGGATAAAAATGCTCCCAAGACAAAAAAAACTTCAAAGGCATCTCAAAATAATGCATCAAATAAGGTAGGGGTATTTTCGTCATTTTAATAGTTCTTTTTTTAATAATTAATTTTTTTGTGCTTTTTTTTTTTTTAATTAGTACCTCACAATAGGCTAGCAATAATGTGATTCAATTTTTCTATTTTTAAACATGTTCAAAACATTTTAAGAGGCGTGTAATGCAGGTTATAAAAAAGGTATTTCGCACGCAGATAATAATGTGATTAAATTAGTTGTCAAATGATTTGTTTTTTTATTTTAACAAACGATATTATCTACACTAAGGAGGAGAGGGTGAGCTTAGCCTCACAATGGGCTAACAATAATGTGATTCAATTAATTGCTTATTAAATATTATTTTTGTGACAGCCCGTCCCGAGAAATTTTAAAAACGTATGCGTGAAAAGATGATTTTGCCCTAGCGTGATTTTTTGTTGTGTAGTTGTTCTTTTTGGCTTGGTGTGGCTGGTTTTGCACCACACACTCACCCTCACTGTTTTTCTCCTTTCCTTGCACCTGTCCCGAGTCCCCTTTCCCATCCCATTATCCATACACGTACGGACACACACCCAAACCCATCAAACCTCCACAGATCGAAGAATCCAAGCACATATTCAGACTCGTGAGGCTTGTAGGAGTCCAACCACACCCATTTCAGGTAAGAACATCTTCGTTTTCACGTCGAACTCACGATGCCCGATTTTGGTACTGTTCATGCACACGTGATTTCTCACGTTTTAGGGAATTTCAAGCTTGTAGGAAGCTTGGTGAGGTTTCTAGGAGACTCGGGGTGGTTCGTTTGAAGGTTTTGGACGTCGGGATCACGAGTTTCAAGGTTGGCCGGAGTTGGGGTGATTTTGCAGGTGAGATTTCGTGGATTTTAGCCCTTGAAAGTAGTATGATTGTGTTCCTCTCATTGTAAGCTTCATTTTGGTACCAATTTTGTGAAATTTGGTTGAAAAACGAAGAAGATATCAAAGTTTGAAAATTTTCCGGTTTTCCGGCACCGGAGGCTCGCTGGAGAAGACGACGGAATATTCCGTCAGACTTGACGGAATATTCCTGAAGCCATTAACGGAATCCGTTAGGAATAACGAATATTCCTAACGGCGTCAACTGACGCCGTCAGCGTGCCAGGCACGTGCCTGCGCGTGGCCGGCGCGTGGGGGCGCGTGCGGCGATGAAAAATTATTTTAAAAATATGGGGATGTTCCTGAGGTTGAGAAGATCACGTTGGTGTATTCATACACCCCATTTGAGCGTTGTATGAGAAGTTATTTCTAAAGGTTGGTTATGTGCTTTAAAATTGACGTTTTTGTAGTTGTTTCGCATATATGTGATACCTATCCCGAGGACGAGCGTGGTCACTCGAGGCAGGGGGGCTACGACCCTTCCACATACCAGTGAGTGGACTTTTGGTTTTCCGTATATACCTATATATTTATATTTTCCCAGAAATTGATTTGAATTGTTAATTGTCATATGCCATGCATTACATCACCGTTGTTTATGCATCGTTAGTTGCATTATTAGTCGTTTATATATATATATATATATATATATATATATATATATATATATATATATATATATGTATATTTGGTGCTGCGGACGCACAGGTAAGTGCCAGGTAAGTGTTATCCATGTTACATTCAGTAGTGATTTGAGATGCTTAGAGAGCTCATAACCTGCACACCTGGTGTTAGTGCTCCCGCCCAAAGTAGGGCACAGCTCTTCACGTGATGTTCACCTCCCGCACCACACGCTCAGCTTGGATCCAAGTTAGGTGCACAGTCCTGTCGTACAGACCACTTTAGGTGGTTCCGACTCGTAGGTGACCCACGATTATTCGCCCAGCCTTCACGTGATCGTAGCACTTAAGCGTATATATATATATGTTACACCCAGGTCTGTCGTACAGACCACTTTAGATGGTTCCGACTCGTGTGCAGGTTCAGTTAAAGTGAGATTTGAGCTCTAGATTCAGCCGTACAGGTCACGTTAGGTGACTCCGGCTGTCAAATTTTATGTTGTTGATATGATTTATACCTGAGCACTTACATTTCATTCTAAGGTTTTGGCATGGCATATTCTTGAGCATGATTGATATATATATATATATATATATATATATGTATATATATATATATATGTATATATATATATATATGTATATCTATTTTCTGGGAAGTATACAGGTTTTACGGCGAGGGATTAGAACGTATTTATTAAATGGTTTTCGAAAAGCTTTGTTTTTGCCCTCTCACGCTTTTGTTTTGCGCGCCTCCAGGTTCTAGTTGACTAGCAGGTTTGGTGGTTTTCCCCAGAGGACTTTCCCAGCATTTCTAATAGACGATCACCAGCGTAGGGCCACCTTCGGGTGTATTGTTGTCACATCATTTTCTTTTGGACTGCTTAGGCTTTATGCTCTGATCTAGGTGTCGCACTTACATTGCACTTGTTATTACTTTATGTAAAACCAGTTTTTATTTATTCGTATTACTATTTTCATTATTATTTTATTAGCTTCTGCACTGTGCACATGGCTACGTCACTTCCACATGACGGCCAGCATGCCTTGACCTCGATCGGGGTGTGTCAATTTTCTCTATTCTTAATGTAAATTCTATAAAACTGATTTTATTATGTGAATTCAACTGCTTTAATTATTTTATGAGGGGTTTCTTTTAGCATGATTTAAGATTATTCATTTATTTCAAATATTTGACTTTCCTTTTGTCAATTTACGCATATAAATATATTTAAACGTGTAAATCGCACGTAGCACGCTGTGATTTAAAAAATATCACGCATGTGCATGAAGACTAGTTATATATAAAGCCAATGGCCAAATGAATAGTGTTTTTTGGTATCACAAGCTTCACCAAAAATAATTAGACAAAATGCCCCTAAAAAAAAAAAACCTTCAAAAACAACTCAAAATAATGTATCAAATGTGACAGAAGTATTTCGTCATTTTAACAGTATTTTTTAATAATTAAATTTTTTTGTACAGTTTTTTATTTATTATAATAATTAATATCTCATAATGAGCTAGCAATAATGTAATTCAATCAGTTGCTTATTAAATATTATTTTCTCTATTCTTAATATAAATTTAATAGACCGATTTTATTATGTAAATTTCTTCTAGTATAATCTAATATTACTTATTTACCTCAAATATTTTACTTTTCTTTTGTCAATTTACGCATATAAATACATTTAAAACGTATAAATCGCACGTAACACGTCATGATTCAAAAACTATTTTCTGCATGTGTGTAGAAGATGTATGAAAGAGATGAAGGACATAGAAGAGTGACTAAGATATCTAGAGATATCAACAAAGATAGTTATACAAAACGAAGGCTAAAAATCAAAACCTATCTCAAGTTGCTTTTACTTTCTTAATTTTGATTTGAATAATTCTTCTTCCTCCTTTCCCTTATACCTCATATCCCCACCATATCTAAAACACAAACTGTACAAACCCTAAAAACCAGGTTCCCACAAGGCTGGCCAAGGAATATACATAAATCAACCAAATCGACAAAAAAATATAAACACAATAACCTCCTTCAAATACAGACCAATCAAGAAATCGAAAATAACACGAAATATCAGACGGCTAATTCTGTGTTACAACTCTCCTTCAATAACAAAATAATAAGTTCCATCATTAAGTTTTTGAGCAGAAAGAATCTAGAAGCTACAAATATGAAAAAGTCTATAAGAAACTACAAAGTTGCATTACGATTTGATTCCGCGGTGGTTTTCAGGGGAACAACAAAGTCAATAGCATCTCAAGTTTCAATATCATTCCTCCTCAGCTTGGGGCGAACGGCTGCAGTTAACAAAAGACCGTGTGTTAAACAACAGAAGCTAAGAGTAGATGGTAAACAAGGTTAATAATCCAGATTAGTGCGATTGAAATTCAAACCTGCTATATCTCTCATTCATGGGGCTTTCAGGCCCGCCATAATTGGGGCTATCCCTAGCTTCAGGCGCAGAATTTGGGCTTGCGACACGACCATTTTCCGGGCTGGCCCTCTCTGTTTCATAAGGACTACCGCTGTGGCCACCACCATGTTCAGGACTGACCCTCTCTCTCTTATATGGACTACTGCTTGGGAGACGGCCATTTTCAGGACTATCCCTTGGACCATCCCGTTCTCTCTTATATGGACTACGTCTGGGACCATTTTCAGGACTGACCCTATCTCTCTTATATGGGCTACGACTGGGACCATGGCCATTGTCATCCCCAGGCCTCTCTCTTCCGTAAGGACTACGGGTACGATCACGAACACGGTCACCACTCACCCTCTCTTTTCTAGGACTACGACTGGAGATGCGGCCATGATCAGACCTGTCCCTCCTATATGGACTTGGGCTGCGCCCACGGCCATAGTCAGAACTAACTCTCTCCCTTCTATAAGGACTTGCTCCACGTCCATAATCAGGACTACCCCTTTCTCTCCTGTAGGGACCAGGGCTAGGGCCTCGGCCATAATCAGGGCTACCTCTCTCTCTTTTGTAGGGGCTTGGGGACCTTCTTCTATCACGGCCTCTGTCTGGAGACCTATCACGACTTCTCCGGTCAGGGCTAAATCCATCTCCTCTTTCATCGTCATCACGAACTGCATATTCCACCGATATAACTCGATCCATCAGCTTGCTGCAAAAACACATATCATCGGCCAATAGATGCACAAATATACAGAAGAATGAACAAAGATATAGTCGAGAGAGAGAGAGAGAGTGAGAGTGAGAATGAGATATCCACCTCATGTTTGTAGCTTCCAATGCCCTGGTAGCATCCTCTTGTGACTCATACTGAACAAATGCAAAATTTCTTCTGATCCTTACGCTGACAATTTTCCCATATGAATCAAAATGCCTCTCCAAATCTTTGGTCCTTGTGTGATAAGGATCAAAATTTATAACAAACAAGGTCTTTGAAGGTCTTGTATTAGTCGAAGATCTTCTTGATGCACCAGGTCTTCTAGCACCACGTTCTTGCTACAATACAAAACATCAAAGTGCTAAAACCAGGACAAACTTGAAAAAACAACTGACAAACAGTGACAAAATTAAATAGTGATAAAAATGGCCTACATTTGCTACCTTCGTCCATTCAACACGAAGCCTGCGTCCTTTTCGACCAAATTCTTTTCGGTCAAGTCCCCTAATGGCATATTCAGCATCTCTCTCATCCTCCATATAGATGAAAGCAAACCCTGTAAAGAAGTAAGTACAACATTCTGAACTGACAACAAATGCCATGTATTTTTGCCAAACAAAGGTAAGAATTCCCCGTACAAGGATTCTTCAATAAGAGACGGCATTGCTCCTTTCGACAATATACAAACCACCTAAATACTATCCTAATTAAACAGTGAGGCAACCTAAGGGAAATCTATAAACTAAGGGACCAATAAAAATAGTAACAGACCTTGCAAAATGAACTAAGTGATGTCAAGGGACAAGAATCCAAAATGGATGTCTCATGGTGGGTCAATGTAAAGAGAGTGCCTTCTCCATCTAATCGGCTGCCCCTGCCATGGGATGGCAGTGTTTCAATTGTGATTGAGGGCTGGGCGAAGGTCATGAGGAATGAAAGGCAATTGTGACTGGAAAACGTGGGATGGCGGTAGTGCAATTGCCGATCAGAGTGACTCTTCTTGAAAACAAGAAGAGGAAGCTCATCACAAGCAAGAAACAGAATTCTGAAGAGCCCATCCACTAGCCTGGAGGATTATGGTTATCCCAAGATAATCCTGCGTCAAAGAAAATGTTGAGTATGGGGGTTTATGCGTCAAAAAATACATGCTCTTTCTTAAACGTATCCGGAACCCCCACAGTAACTCAACAAGGAAGACTCCTGCCACTGAGAAATGTAGCCAGATGATTATTCGGTCAAACTGCTGATGAAACAGCACATCTGAGGTGCCACGGCTACAGATGCAGACATGCCATGGTTGAATTTCCTTTCCGCTGTAAGACCCAGTTTTGATTCTTGCAGGGGGATATATGATTGTTACTATAAGTTTATTTCACTGCAGATTACATGCATGCACAATTTTAATCCAATGTTTTCTTGTCTTCAACAGACCCCTCGCAGAGACAATAATTTGAACAAAGTAACAAATTATAGTGATGTCCATCCCTCAAAGTTGCTTTTAAATAACCAACTCAAAGCTGGATGAAATAGGAATGCAAGATTGCTGAATCGAGAACATGTTTACAATCATTCATGTTAATTCTGGAAACAAAGAAATTGAAAATTTTGAAGATGCCATGTTAGAATATATATATATATATATATATATATATATATATATATGTTTTTTTTGGTCAATAATGCTGTACTAGAATTCATCCTTTAATTTTGATCCCAAAGGAATTAGAAATAATTTATTTACCAAAATCACTAAAATCACTTTCACAACTCAAATCTTACCACAAATCTAAGCTGTAAGTGTGGTAAAATTTTGAAACAGATATATATTGTTCGCCCATGTGAATTCACTTTCACAACTCAAATCTTACCACAAATCACTAAAATCACTTTCACAACTCAAATCTTACCACAAATCTAAGCTGTAAGTGTGGTAAAATTTTGAAACAGATATATATTGTTCGCCCATGTGAATTTAGAAGTCAGTCCTCATTTTGGGTTTCAATTCATTAGTTCAAATGAAATAAAATGACTTATTACTCTTTCAGGATCAAAACTAGAGGATGAAATCTCATACAACATCTGAGCTGACTATCCAGCTTCATAGTGATTTACCATGTGAAGTAGAGGATGTTTTGAATATGTTTGAGGAGAATGGATGCATCACATGAGGAAGAGGGTTAAATATCGGTGCCACAAGTGAAATAAGCACAATACAGAGACAGAGAACTAAAAGGTGAACTCACCAGACTTCATATCGACCCTATCAACTTTCCCATATCTACCAAACAGGCGCTCCAATTCATTCTGTCGAGCATCATATTCAAAATTCCCACAAAAAATCGGCTTCATTTTCTGGCATAAATGAAAATAAACTGTTATCAATCATGAAAACAATCTTTCACACCTTACGTGATGCGGTGGAGCAAAAGACCAGTCTATCAAAGAATATGCAAATGATAATAATGAACAAGAAAACCCAACATCACTAAATTCCACATCACATAAACAAAGGGCACATAATTTCAAAGAACACCACCCGACACCAAACATTCTTTCAATTGTGAAAAAGCACTGGTCATATCTTATACAAGAACCGTTAAATTCACAATTACATTCACCAAGTTCCAAATCACAAGAAATATCACAAATAATTAAAAAAAAAATTACAAAGCACTGGTCATATCTTATACAAGAACCGCTATTCCAAATCACAAGAAATATCACAAATAATAAAAAATAAAAAATCAATGCCTACAAACAAATTCACTGATATTCCCTGTGTAACTTCAGCTATGCGATTTAGCTAAAGAAAAAAAAAATTCAGCTAAGAATTGCACTAAACAAGATCTCGGTCTCAAATACAACCAAAGAAAATTATGTAAGAACACACAAATCCAAATTAATAACCAAAAAAAGAAAACCAATTGGATAATTAACCCTAAAAAATCTCACAAATTTCAATAAATTAAGCCAAGAAACAAGAAAACAAACACCTAAGTCGCAGAGCAATCAGATCTACAACTAAAGAATCCCTATAAGTCAGATCTCCATTTATTTTCCAGAAACGGCACGAAAGATAACAAATTGAGCTGCAGAAAAAAGATTTTGGTTTCTTTACGAATTTTCTTGGGAACCAAACGGAAAATTGAGACACGTAGAATTAAGTTTCAGGTTTCAGAGAGTTTCGTACCTTCTCTTCGGAACCGTAGCAAGCGAGCGACGTGAAGGAAGTAGGTGATGCTTTCTTCGATTTGACCGAACTGTGAGGCCCCGTGAGTGGAATAAATAAATAGTAGGGATAAAGAAAACAACGTTTTTGATATTTGTGAAAAGGGCCCCGTACTTTATATTATTTGTAAACTTGGCCCTTTCACACGTACATGCACAACTATTTAATATCAGGGGCAAAAATGATATTTTACAGCCCACGTGCGTTATATCGGGATTCCAAATTATCTCGCGGATTACAAATAATATACATGAGGCTAAATTGGAGTATCTTAACATCAGGCATATGCATATCGCGTGCTAATTAAATTGCGACAATTAATAAACTAGTGTCGAATTGTAACAATTGAAAACACTGTAACCAAAATGGAACTTCAGTCCATTGGTTTTAGCCAATTGTGACATCATATACTTTATGTTACTATATAATATGTGCAAACGTAAGTTATACCAGTTCACTACAGCAATTTATTCGTCTTCTTTTAATCAATTTCGAATAAATGTAAGTTATACTTTATGTTACTCTGTAATATTTTGGTAACCTTTTTATTCTTTTGCAAACAATAAGGAATCAAATAAACCAAGGAACTTTGGAGGAAGAACCAAATTGGGTTGCCTCAGCATTGGTTTGGTCTGGAAAGAAATTCAAGTTGGGTTGAACTTCTTGCATTTGATGCACTTGATTTGCTTGTCCTACTCCACCTACTCCGCCAGAGTTGATGAAGGTGACCTCAACTTGTGTTTTAGCTAATTGGCATTTTATGTTGTGAATTTCTTGATATAATTAAAAAAAATAGTCTTTACATAACTGTATACAGAGTCTTATATTCTACGTTCAGCTTCATACCACAAAGTCTCTACTATGTCAGCTCTCATATAGTCTGGTAGTTGCTGACGAATCATAAGAGAAAAAACCAAAGTTAATCATCCCATTAATACAAGATCAATTTCTCTTAAATTCATAATTAAGAAACGGCTGCTATTCAGACTCTCTCAAAAACAAGTTCAAGTGGAACAATTTATGTCGCCACCTGCTTGAATCCACATTATAACACAATAAAAGAAGAAATATTACGGACATGGAGTTTTAACATTGCTGGCACCATAGATCAAAACATAGAGTTTTTACCATTTCGGATATGGTAAGTAGGTTTCTCCATTTGGCGTTGCATACGCGGATGAACAATGACGGCTTCTTTGGAGCTATCCATTACATTAAGGCCTGGTTTGGTACTGAGGTGATTCTGAAAAAAGCTGGTATCAAAAAAAGCTGGGAGCTGTTTTTGTGTTTGGTAAACATTCAGCTTCAACTTTTTTTCACAGTTTTGGGTGAAAAAAGCCAAAAACAAGAAGCTGCAAAACCCAGCTTTGAAAAACTGGCTTTTTTTCACATTTGTTTTACATAAAAGTTTACCAAACACTATAATACTGCTTTTTTTTTTTCAAAAGCACTTTTACAAAAAAGTTTACCAAACACTTTGCTGCTTTATTTCACAGCTGCTTATTCTCACAGCACAGCAGAAGCAGCTTTTTTTCAAAGCACAGCAATACCAAACCAGCCCTAACTACTATCCAACTGCTTTAATGGCAGTTCAGACCACCATTGCCTTATCTCCATCAAAGACTCGGAGGATCCCAAAACCCTAACTTTCCCATTGATCTCCAAAACTATAACATCCCAACCAGAACAAGTCCCGAAGTTACAGTTCAATCCCCACAAAGAATCCCATTTTTCTTTGGCTTTAAAAGAAGCTAATTCCATAGCTGTCATAGCTTTCCCAATGATACTTACCGGCCTGTTGCTTTACTCAAGGTCAATCATCTCCATGCTCTTCTTCGGCCGCCTTGGTGAGCTCGCCGTAGTGGACGGGTCCCTTGCCGTGGGTTCGCCAACATCACCGGTTACTCCATACTCTCCGGCCTCGCCATGGGAATGGAACTCATCTGCGGCCAAGCTTTTGGCGCCAGAATACACGCTCTGCTCGACCTCTCTTTGCAGAGGACAGTCCTCCTCTTACTATTTACATCCTTACCCATTTCTCTTCCCTGGCTGAACATGAAGAAAATCATCCTCATCTGCGGCCAGGACGAAGCGATCGCTGCCGAAGCTCAGTTGTACCTCATCTGTTCCACCCTCTGAGAATTTACCTCAGAAGTTAATCCATCACTCTGCCTCTAATTATGTGCAACTCTGGCGATCATCCCCCACATTCCCATAAACTATTTTCTCGTTTCGCACCTCGATTTGGCAATCAAGGGTGTTGCTTTTACTGGGGTTTGGTCTAACTTCAACCTCGTAGCTTTCCTGATCTTATACATCATCTTCTCTGGGGTCTACAGAAAAACCTGGGGAGGGATGTCAATGGAGTGTTTCAGAGAAATGAGGACCCTTCTAAATTTAGCAGTGCCCAGCTACATTTCTGTGTGTTTAGAATGGTGGTGGTATGAGATCATGATCTTGCTCTGTGGATTGTTAATAAATCTGAGAGCCACCGTTGCTTCAATGGGAGTTTTAAATCAAAGTGCCGCCTTAATCTACATATTTCCTTCTTCCTTAAGCTTCAGTGTTTCCACGGGAATCGGCAATGAAATTGGCGCCAGCAACCCGAAAGGGGAGTGGTGTCTCAAGTAACGGGTTTTAGTCCTCTGATTCAAAGACGATACCTCTGAATTCGGGGTTGAGGAGGACAAACCAAGCAAAGCTGAAATCAAGGAAGATTGTTTATGTTTATCAGGTGAGTTAGATACTTATATCCAGTTCAAGTGCCGGACGCAACTCCGAATCAAATAAACCCCACTGCTGCGGACCAAGGCCTAGACACTAATTATATTGTGGCTGTGTGCAGTAGCAGGGAGGTGATCAACAAGTCCTCAACCCCGAATTCAGAGGCAACGTCTTTGAATCATAGGACTAAAACCTGTTATTTGAGACACCACTCCCTTTTCGGGTTGTTCCCGCCGATTTCATTGCAGACTCTCGTGGACACACTAAAGCTTAAGGAAGAAGGAAATATGTAGATTAAAGCGGTGGTTTGAATTAGAAGAACTCCCATTGAATCAACGGTGGCTCTCGGATTTATTAAAAATCCACAGAACAAGATCATGATCTCATACCACCACCATTCTCTGAAACACTCCACTGAAATCCCTCCCCAGGTTTTTTGTGGATGATGTTATGATCGGGGAAGCCACGGGGTTGCAGTTAGACCACACCTCACTAAGAGCAACACCTTTGATTCCCAAATTGAGGTGCAAAACGAGAAAATAGTTGATGGAAATGTAGAGGATATGATCGCAAGAGCTGCACACAATATGAGAGGCAGAGTGATGGATTGACTTCTGAGGTAAATTCTCAGAAGGTGGAGAAAAGATTGAGCAAGAAGATCAGGGAGAGAACAGAGGAGGTACAACTGAGCTTCGCGATCACTTCGTCCTGGCCGCAGATGAGAAGGATTTTCTTCATGTTCAGCCAGAAAAGAGAAATTGGTGAGGATGTAAATAGTCGGAGGAGGACCGTCCTCTGCAAAGAGAGGTCGAACAGAGTGTTTTTTGGCACCAAAAGCTTGCTGCAGATGGGTTCCATTCCCATGGCGAGGCCAGGGAGGATGGAGTAACAGGTGATGTTGGCGAAGCCTATGGCAGGGGACCCGCCCACTAAGGCGGCCAATGAAGAACATGGAGATGATTGACCTTGAGTAGAGCAACAAACCGATAAGTATCATTGGGAAAACTATCCAGCTATGCAATTGGCTTCTTTTAAAGCCAAAGAAAAAGGGGATTTTTCGTGAGGATTGAACTGTAGTTTCCGTACTTGGTTGGGATGTTATGGTCTTAGAGATCAATGGGGAAGATAGGGTTTTGGGATCCTCCGAGTCTTTGATGGAGACGAGGCAATGGTGGTCGAATTGCCATTGCAGCGGAGAGGCAATGTATTTGGTTATTCATGAATCTGAACTAATCTTACAACATCCAGTACGATACAAAGCAGTTTATAGCTAATTTGCATTGGAATGAATCAGAATGAATTTCACTATTTTGTTAACCTTTTTATTCTTTTGCAAACAGTAAAGAATCAACTAAACCAAGGAGCTTTGGAGGAAGAACCAAATTGGGTTGCCTCAACATGGGTTTGGTCCGGAAAGAAATTTAAGTTGGACTGAACTTCTTGCATTTGATTCACTTGATTTTCTTGTCCTCCTCCTCCTCTGCGAGAGTTTGTGAGGACGATCGCAACTCGTGTTTTAGCTAATTGGTATTTTGCGTTGTGAATTTCTTGATGCAATTGAAAAATAGTCTTAACACAACCATAAACTGAATCTTGTATTCTACATTCAGCTTCATAACACAAAGTATATGCTGCTTCAGCTCTCAGATGGTCTGGTAGTTGCTGATAAATCATAAAAGGAAAAACCAAAGTCAATCATCCCATCAATACAAGATTAATTTCTCTTAAGTTCATAATTAAGAAATGACTGTTATTCAGACTCTTTAAAAAACAAATCCAAGTGCGACGATTTATATTGCCACACACTTGAATCCATTATAACACAATAAAGAAGAAATCTTACGAGTTTGAGAAATATAATTGCATTTATTACGTTTCTAGAGTAGGATTATGTACCTGGAGCATTTTGGAAACATTGCTGGCACCATAGATCCTATGAACAGAAGCAAATCTTTGAGGATTGTTTGCAGGAAAATACGAAGAGAAGATGCAATCGGAAGGACATCTTCTTCTCAGATACTTGCAAGCTGCACAATAAGAAATCATGATTCAAAATCTAGAGAAGGATCAAAATCTCACCCTAATAGATTTTTTTTCAATCTTTTCGGAGGAAGAAAATCTTAGAAAAGATTGTTGTGAGTTAGCTTTTGAAAAGGTAAAGATACGCACGCTATTTGTATTGAGGGAAATTGGTGTAGCTTTGGAAAGATTTTTCCAACGGCTACTTTTTTATTGGCAAATTGAGGATTATAGAGGAAATTTGATTAGGATGATAATCCTAGACTTTTAATTAGCGTTTGGTTTCTCCTTCTAGATATTTTTGCTGATCACAACATTTTCTTCCAATACATTGAAAAGTCAGATTGGCTTTAAACCGCATTTGTCATATTAGGTGGCTAACCATGGAAGAGTTGACCAAATTTTGTCTGACTTTTATACCATAATTTTTACCATAATTTGATGAGACTAGGCTTAATATGGGCCTTACTCAATTTAATTTGTTTGCTCTAAAAGCCTTGCCACCATAGCCCAATTCTTCCCAATCTCGTAAGTGAAATTGTTTGTGAAAGAAGAGGGCTAATGTATAATAAAAAAGAGCACATATTTTTATTTCATTCATTACGTAACTGATAGAAAAATAAGGAAACATTCTAGTTGCCTTGATGTTTTTCTTTGAAAGAGAGTAAACATGTCAAATGTCTTAAAAAGTAAAGCATACTAGGTCTTTATTTTATTTTCAAAATACAACTTAACTAGATAGCCAAAGTTCAACTTTGCAAGATAGCCAAAGTTCACTTGTCTAGCAAACTACATAATTATTACATAGCCGAAGTTCAACTTATTTATCAAACACTATTACTATTACATTGAAGCAAGCCAGACCTATTATCTAAATCCAATCAAAATAAGTAAATAAATTTCTCCGAGACTGGATTTGGATCAATCTTGCTCGCTTTTAACTCCCTTCAATACAGCTTAAAGACCATCACCCAGTAGGGCATTCAGGAAATCATGGTCACAATCCTGCAAAGAACACAAGTGAAATAACCAAAATGTTCATTAGCAAAACTTTTCAGAGATACTATGTCAAATCGTATAAGTGGTAGCTATAAATTGAATTCTTGACTTGCCGGAAAAGGTAGTGGTGTCTCAGATAACATGTTATAGTCCTCTGGGTCAAAGACGTTGCCTCTGAATTCGGGGTTGAGTACTTGTTGATCACCTCCCTGCTGCTGCACATAGACACAATATATGTTTAGTATCATGATCAAATCCATTGTGTGTCCATGCGCACGCGTGTGTGTATGTGCTCAAAGTATGAAATGAGTATGCATTCCTGGCTCCAAGATTGTTCATTAGGTGCGTTTTCTTCAACATGGTATGGGCCAGAAGAGTTAGGGTTTGGAACCTGGTCCACGGAAGGGTTGAAATGAGTAAGCAATATAATTAGTAGCATGATCAAGTAAATGTGCGCGTGCACACGTGAGTATGTGATAAAATATGAAATGAAGTAGGCATGCCTGGCTCCAAGATTGTTCGTTAGGTGCATTTTCTTTGACACGGTATGTGCCAGAAGAGTTAGAGTTTGGAACCTGGTCTGCAGAAGGGTCGGAAACTTTGTTTACAGCAGTGCCCAGACCTTGGTCCGCAGAAGGGTTGGAAACTTTGTTTACAGCAGTGTCCAGGCCTTGGTCTGCAGCACTAGGGTTCATTTGATTCGGAGTAGCGTCTGGCACTTCAACTGGATACAAGAAACTTGAGAAGTCGGGAGGAAGTTGATCTTGATCTCCACCTTTTTGCTGCACACAGTGAAGCAGACAATTTGGTGAGAAAACGGTAGAAAGGAAAAGAAAGATCTTTAAGGTTTAGGGTTTTATATGTACCTGAGAAGAAGAAGGCTGATAGTTGTTATGCTCGTCCATGAAAAGATTACTAATCATCAAATCATCAAGAGTTTTGTCCAGTTCTTGTTCAGGAGCCACTCTATTCTTGTTGACCAATGTAGGAGCAGTAGTAATATTATTATCGTTATTCTCAGCTGGGGGTGGCAACACAGAAACATTTTGCTGCTGATCTTCTTTGTTCTTATTGAAAACTTTTAGAAACTGATATGCACTAGAAGTAGTAGTGCTAGTCTCAAACCCAGCAGAAGACGACGATGACGAAGAACCTCCTAAGGTAGCCATTGGTGCAGTAGTACCACTCAGACTCACGTTTCGAACCCCATTGGTCAAGCCATTGATAATCTCATTGTTGAAGTTAAACCCATTTGATGAAAGTCCACCAGTCCCATTGAGATTATTGAGTTTTCCCAATATCTCAGATCTGCAATTAGGGTGGGTTCCAGAAAAGTTACCAATCAGCTGCTGATTAGTAAAATTGTTCTGAATTCCAGATGTGCCAAAGTTGTAGCTGAATGGGTTGTTATTGGTGAAAATTCCCTGCTGCTTTACTTGTGGAATCATTTGGATCAAATTACTTGCAAGCATATTATTGGTGGTAAGTCCAGTAATATCGGCAGAACTAGAAGACATGCTTCCACTGGATCCATGATTGTTCATCAGTTGTTACTTTCCAAAATCCCCTGGGTGGCGACTTTCTTGAGAAAGCAGCTGATGATTCACATTTCCAACCCATGGTTGGTGGCGGAGAAGATTAGCTTGAGTAATAGGGTTCAGCAGACGAGACTGCCCCGAACCGATTAGTTGAGTCACGGATCTCATAGTGTTGCTGCTTCTTGAAGATTGCTGATAATTAGGGCATTGGATCAAGCCAAGGAGATTAATGGTATTTCCATCAATCCCAACTGAGGATGGTTGAAATACAGAGGCATTGATTGGAGATGCTCCCATTTGTTGTTGTAATTTCAGGTACTGCGAATATTGGTCTCCTGCTTCCGTACTGTTGAAGGCCAGTCCTGGATGGCCAACTGCAAAGCTTGACCTGAACACCCTATCAGACAAGCACTTGGAAAGTCTAGCTTTCTCAGCAACTCGTTTCAAAAAGATGCGATACTTCTGCAAATTCACAGATGCACATACCATCATTAACAATCTGGTCATCAAGGTATAATCTTTCTAGCTTATATACGCACAATGTTTTGTGATAAATATTAAAATACTTGTTATGCAACAAGTGCAAAACCCTTTTTTTATTTCTTTCGCAAGAATTGAACATCTTCACGCACACACAAGTTTTCTTTCTTTCATTAGTCTTTCTACAACTGATAGAAACGGAAACCACACATAAGTGAGTTAATTATTAGGCCAAGTGGTCATGTTAGTGCACGCCCTTTGTACTCTCTCTCTCTCTCTCTCTCTCTCTCTCTCTCTCTCTCTCTATATATATATAAATATCTCCTCTTGTAAAATAAATAAAAAAGGAAAAGGAAACCACATAAAAATAGATTTTAAAAAAAAAAAAAAAAATCTAATATATATTCCAATGACATTCAAACAAATAAATAACCTGCAAATGACTAGCTACATTTGCCCTGGTTAAGCCAGGCACATTCATGAAGTCGAGAATATTCTTTGGCACTGCCCCTGCATGAACCCAATTACATTAATCAGTAAACGCAAAGGTATGTCTATAAACACCAATGTTTTAAAAGGCTCGCCTTATGGCGCGCCTAGGCGCCCTCTAAGATTGGGCTTGAGGATTGCTGCTTTTGGGGTTTTAACTGCCTCATACCTCTTCCTTGCACTATCGTCTCTCTGCCTTTTTTTTTTCTTTCTAATTTTTATTTTTTATATACTGGATCTATGTGTTGTCTGCATGCATTGTTATATGTGTTCTCATTGCGCTTTTCATCCTCTATTATATATATATAATATAATATAATATAATATATGTCTATATATGTGTGTGTATATTTATAATATATGTGTGCGCTCAGGATGATTATTGGTTAATAATTTTTTTAAATATAATATATGTGTCAGTGTATATATTAAAAAATTTAGGTCTTGTGAGGCTTTACCTCATGCCTAGGCCGGGGCTATCCCTCGGACGCCTCGCCCACACCACAAGCTTTTAATACACTGATAAACACACACTCAGAAATTAGAAAAGAAAATATGAGATGATTGAAAATGTCACGTACTGTCAAGGCCGATGTGTCTAATGGCCAACGGAAACTGATAGTGAAGTGAGTTTATCCAAACCACTTTTGGCTTCTTTGGTGCAACCATGCGTTCTTCATTATCGTCTTCCCTACCTGTCTTTTTTGCCTTCTTCGTCTTTACCTCGGCCCATTTTTAATGTTGTTCCTCATTAGCATCCGAAGATATCTCAGAGTTACTTCCATCGTCGACCTCACCAGGTGCTTCTCTTGGAGCACCTTCTATTTCCCCTATGACAACAGATTTACCTTTCTTAGCTGCCACAGCATACTGCCACACATTTTTAATGTCATCTTTGCTCACAGGCTTTACTATATAGTAAGCAACTCCACCCTCTAAACTCTTTAGTATCACACTCTCGTTGTCATCTGCGGACATCACTGCATTAAGAAATGAATTAAACAAAATGAGTTGGACATGTATTGATTAAAAACGAAACTACATTTATGAGATTAATTTGTTTACTTAAGAATGACACTCACTAATAACAGGTAGTTTAAACTCGTCACGAACATGCTTTTGCAATTCAAATCCATCCATCTCAGGCATATGGAGGTCGGTAACAACAAGATCAAATGCGCCTTTCTGCTCTCGAAGGGTAGCCAAAGCATCTATAGGATTCTTAACAGGGACAACTAAATAAAGTGTAGCAAAAAAAATATTAGTGTTGACTGTAGACAGCATGAATCAATGAAATCTTGCAAAATTATTCAACGTAGCAGTAAAGCGATCTAAGAATCGTTTTTTGAACCCTCATAAGCAAGCATGCATGCGATTTACGTTAAGGAATGGATCTCTTAAGGGGTTTTTTTTGCTTATTATAAAGGGAAATATTATTGGCACTCCAAAAATCTCATTCTACACTCCTCACAAATGTATTTTTCTTTCCTAATATCGAAAGTTTGGAGTGTAGAATGAGATTTTTGGAGTGTTAATAACAATTCCCAACAAAATAATTCTTTTTTATACTCTGATTGCAATTTGCAAGGAAGCCAACAATTGAGTACCATTTCTTGAAAAAAAAAAAAAAAAAAAAAAACAATCAAGTACCCTTTTTACTAACTTAAAAAGTTACACACATAAGAACCCTAATTGAAAAACAAATATATATAGTTTTCTTATCAACCATTCTTACAAAAAAATTAAGACGGCGAAAAGTCTGAAGAACAAAAAATCTCCGAGATCCACTGAATGAAAATGATACAATTTTTTATTTTTTTTTAAAGAGCACATGCAGCAAAAATCTGATCAATTTTACATTGTATAAGATGAGATCTAGCTAGATCTAGTGTCTATAGAAAAAAGGTTCGGTCAAAAAATATTTTCAACATAATTTTTCTAAGAAAACATAACACATAAGAAAAGGCATGCAAAGTCTGAAAAAAGAGTTGACCACTTGAAGATCTAGGTCACTTATGAAACTAAACAAATTACAAATGATAGGACAAAACAAAACAAAAAATCAATTATTATAAGAAATATTTAAATCATTTTTTTTATTCTTTTTAAAAAAAATAATCTAGACAAACTTTTCAAACATAAATTATGTACAAAGGGCGCCAATTCATGACAAAAATTCCAAATTCCACTATTCTTGTGTATATAGGTGGCCAATCAAAATGGAATTTGTATCTGAATTCAGCAACAAAAATTAATTCTTAGAAATTCTTGTCATACGCTTAAACATAAACACAAGTTCTAAAAGGACGGCGCACGAAATCGTATTCAAAACCTTGTTCTTTTGTTTTTGGGTTACATATTTGATTTTAAAATTAGTATATGTAGTTGTAATCTTCAATCTATATACCTTTATAGTTCCATGTTTTGAGCATTGCTGAAACAATAGTTAGAGTGGTGGCATCGTCGTCTACAACCAAGATGTTGATCGTATCTGCGAAAGAGGGTTTGGAATTGGAAGAAGATTGCCTAAACTCAGCACTATCTGTAGCATCCATTGCTTGGAATGAAGCCTATCTTACGCCACATTATTGAGCAGTGAGGGGTTTATATAATACAAGGGCTGGTTAAGTCAGCCGTGACAACAAATGAAGGTGCAACAAGTGTAAGAAAACTGCTTAATTTAAAGAGAGAGTGTTTATCTTTATCTGAATTACCTCTATGTATTTTCCAGACAAATGCACGCAGTTCACATTGTAAGTTACAAAAGATATATGTACATGCATCGCCCACTTTAACATTTCACACTAATTAATGGTAAAATCTAGTATGAAATAAAATATTTATTTTACTTTACCAAACATAGGAGGTTCTTACATATACTTCTTTGTGAAGAAGATTTCACAATCTTTCATTTAATTGCCTGCCATGGAAATGCATTTTTTTTCCAATTTTGGAGCATAATTCCAATTTTTCAACCTGAATGCTTATCATTTTATTTGCAGTCCAAAATTCAAATTTTAATTTTTTTTTTTTTTTTTTTTTTGAGAGAGTGTTGTTTAATTAGTTAATGAATTTAAGATAACTCGTACACTTCAACAAAAAAAGATAATTTAAACACAGTTAATTAGCATTTTTTTAGTTCAATTTATATAAGTATGAATTATCCATTTTACAGTCAGCCAAGTTACTTCTCACATATTGAATCAAGGTGTTATTAGAGTTATTAAGTTAAACAATCTTCATTCGAAATTTTAGAATGAATACATTAACGTGGAAAAGAATGGTAAAATATTAGGAGTTTTTATTGAAGGTCTACTAGTTGTAGCTTAACTAAGTGATCTATTATCCATTGTATATATAAAGAAATAATAAAATATCTTGAAATTAAGGGTTTAACAGTCTCTAACGACCTAACGGTTAACGACTTAAGCGTTCCTGCTTAGCCGCCTATAACGACTCACGGACAATCATTTGCATAACAAAATAATAGAATATATTGAATTAACAGTTTTAACGGTCAAACGACCCAACGGTTGATGACGTAATGGTTTAAGACCTCTTACTTACAAAAGAAGAGGAATACAACTAGACCGTAGTACTAAATGACATTTTTATCACATTTTTCTAACTGAACAGATTAACTACTATATGGTATAATATTTACCTCTTTAAATTAACCGAAAAACTAAAATAAGAATATCAAATTCAAAATATTATGGTTTTTCTGGTTGTTAAAATTCAGAATATTATAGAGCAAAAGTGAAAAATTGCGAGGTTCGTTATAGCTAAGGCATTCGTGTTAGACAAATAAGGAATATGGTTGGAGTCCTTGTGTAATTGTATATAATATTATTATTGGAAGAATAAGCCGTCCTACAGCCGTTAAGCCGTCCTACCTTGTCCTACCTACACATTTGTATCATGTATATATATCCTTGTAATCTTGTAGAGAAACACAATGAGAAAAAAAGCATTCTCTTCCATTTCTCCACATTCACGTATCAATAACAAATATATTTTTTAGCCTACATACCTTTTTCTACATGGTATACAGAGCAGGTTTATAACCCTAGCCCTAATTTTTTTTTTTCGGCAGCTTTCTCTGCCGTTCCCATGGCTGACTCTTCTTCTTCCGATGGTGTTTTTTCCCTTCATCATTCCGACCACCCGAATCTTGTCCTTGTATCCAAGAAGTTGAATGGTGATAACTACACATCCTGGGCCCGTGGCATGCAGTTTTCCTTGAGTGCCAAGAATAAACTTGGTTTCATCACTGGCGATATCCAAGAACCTTCTTCCTCCGACGACTCTGATGCTCACGCGACTTGGCGTCGTTGCAATGACATGATTCTCTCTTGGCTTCTGCATTCCTTGGAACCTGACCTTCAAGAATCTGTGCTTTTTTCCACCTCTGTCCAAGCTGTATGGGATGATCTTCGCGAACGCTTCTCTCAAAGTAATGCTCCACGCATCTTCCAACTCAACCGGGAACTTGCTACAATTTCTCAAGGTTCTTCTTCTATCTCCGCCTATTTTACTCGCCTGAAAGCTCTCTGGGATGAGCTTGCTTCTTATAATGATGGTTGCATGTGCTCTTGCAACGCCAAGCATGACCGTCAACAACTCATGCAATTTTTAATGGGCCTCAACGAATCCTTTGCTGCTGTTCGTGACCAGATTCTTTTAATGAATCCCCTTCCCACTGTTCGTCAGGCCTGTTCCTCGGTGTCTCAAGCTGAAAAACAACGCTCCCTGGGCGTCCTCCGCTCTGTCGATCAACCTGCTGTCATGGCTGTTCGTGGCCCGTCTCGTCCCTCCTCTGCTCGTCCTCCCCTCCACTGCACCTACTGCAATTTTGATTATCATACCCGAGACACCTGTCATAAACTTCATGGCTATCCCGTTGGCCATCCCCTCCATGGCCAACCGTGGCGACCACCTCGCCGTGCCACTGCTTCCAGTTCTTCCCGCAGCCATGCACCTTCCAGTCCTCCCCGGCAGCCACGGTTTTCTGCTTCCCGGCCCCATAATTTCACCCAGGCCCATCACGTGCAAGGCACCCAGGCCCCCGCCTCCTCTTCTACTCCAGCGACCCACCAAGTGCACGGGGCCCAGCCCACTTTGCATGACTTGCAGCTTGCCATGCCTGACCTCTCTGCCGAGCAGCACTCCCGTGTTCTAGCTGCTCTACGTGACACCACCACCCCTCCTCAGGCCAATGCCGTGCTCACTACTGATTTTGCCCAAGGTTTGTTACCTGTCACCTCTCGTCATGGTCAATGGATTCTTGACAGTGGTGCTACGGATCATATTACTTCTTCCGCTTCATGTTTGGTTAATCGTTCTCCTTCACATTTGCCGCCTGTTTCTTTGCCTAGTGGTGCTTCCGCTCCCATTACTTTTACCGGCACTCTTCCTTTAAATTCATCAGTTACTTTGAAGGATGTTTTATGTGTCCCTAATTTCCGAGTGGACCTTTTATCGGTTGGTAAACTTACAGATGGATTATCGTGTTCCATAACCTTCTTTCCTTCTTGGTGTGTTTTGCAGGACTTGGTTTCGAAGGCGATGATTGGTGTGGGTAAGCGACGTGGCGATCTGTATTACCTTGTGGCCCTTACCTCTTCTCTCCCCACCCGTCAACCTCTCTGCAACATCATTACCATCCCCTCATCCCTCTGGCATAGGCGTCTAGGTCACCCCTCCTCCACTCGTTTGCAAGCTTTAGCATCTAGCTCTCTTAATTGTACTTTTGATTCTAGTCATATTTGTGATGTTTGTCCGTTGGCAAAACAAACTCGTCAACCTTTTCTTTTGAGTTCAATTTCATCAACTTTCCCTTTTGCTTTAATTCATTGTGATATTTGGGGCCCGAATTGTCAATCTTCTCTTTCTGGTGCTCATTATTTCTTAACCATTGTGGATGATTTTTCTCGCTTTACGTGGGTCTTCCTCATGAAACATAAATCCGACACTCAACAATTAATTAAGGATTTTTTTGCTTATGTCACTACCCAATTCCGCACTACCATCCAATGCATTCGTACTGACAATGGTGGTGAATTTTTATCTCTTCGTAGTTTTTTCTCTGATCATGGGGTGCTTTTACAAACTTCTTGTGTTTATACCCCCCAACAAAATGGCGTTGTTGAAAGAAAACATCGTCATCTTCTTGAAACCGCTCGCGCCCTTCGTTTTCAATCCCATCTTCCTATCAAGTTTTGGGGGGAATGTGTTCTTACCGCTACTTATCTCATCAATCGTCTCCCTACCCGTCTTCTCCATCATAAATCCCCATTTGAGGTTCTCTTTTCGAAAACCCTATCTTATGACCACTTCCGCGTCTTTGGTTGTCTGGCATATGCCACCTCTGTCACTCCCACCACCAAATTTTCCCCTCGGGCTCATCGTTGCATTTTTCTCGGTTATCCTCATGGACAAAAGGCCTATACCCTTTACGATCTCGACAATCACCGCATTTTCACTAGTCGAGACGTCATCTTTCACGAAACTACTTTCCCTTATGCCGTTTCTCACCCTCATATCCCATCCTCTTCGCCTACCCTACCCATCCCACCCCCTCTGGACTTTACATATAACCCACCCTTTCCTGCCCCGACGCCTCACCCTCCTCAACATTCCTCCCCTTCCACGCCTCCCACAGATTCCCTTGCTGCCCCATTACCCGTTCCTCCCCTTCCCCGCACCTCTTCCCGTGCCCATAAACCTCCATCCTATTTAAAAGACTACGTTTGCTCGCAGGTGATTCTGCCATCCCACCCATCTTCGACTTCGCAACCCGGTTCTACACAAGGTACGCGATATCCACTTTGTAATTTTCTCTCTTATCACCGTTACTCTCCCATGCATTTTTCTTACATTAACTCTGTCAGTCGGACTGTGGAGCCTTCCTCCTTTGCCGAGGCTACCAATAACCCCAATTGGCAACGTGCTATGACTGAGGAGCTTCAAGCTTTACATGCTAATGGTACTTGGACTTTAACTTCCTTGCCCCCTGGCAAAATTCCCATTGGTTGTAAGTGGGTGTACAAACTCAAGCACAATTCCGACGGCTCTATTGACCGCTACAAAGCTCGTTTGGTTGCTAAAGGCTTCACTCAGGCTGAAGGTATTGATTATCATGACACTTTTTCTCCTACTGCTAAGATGATTACGGTGCGTTGTCTTCTTGCTCTTGCTGCTAGTCAGTCTTGGTCTCTTCATCATCTTGATGTTAATAATGCTTTCTTACATGGTGACTTACATGAAGAAATCTATATGTTTCTTCCTCCTGGTCTTCGGCGACAGGGGGAGAATCTTGTGTGTCGCCTTCACAAGTCACTTTATGGTCTTAAGCAGGCTTCTCGCCAACGGTTTGCCAAATTCACTAGTGCCATCATTTCTGCCGGTTTTCAACAATCCAAAGCTGACTATTCATTGTTCACTAAAAAATCTGGTATTTCTTTCACAGCTTTGCTCATTTATGTGGATGATATTGTGATTACAGGCAATGATGCTAGTGCCATTAATTCTCTGAAGTCTTTTCTCCGTGATC